GTCCCCGCCCCACGTGGAGACCGGGCCCCGTTGTGCCGGGCGCTGCACAGACACACAGGGAGAGACAGTCCCTGCCCCAGCTGAGATCAGGGCCCGTTGTGCCGGGTGCTGCACAGACACACAGGGAGAGACAGTCCCTGCCCCAGCTGAGATCGGGGCCCGTTGTGCCGGGCGCTGCACAGACACACAGCGAGAGACAGTCCCTGTGCTGATGATCTTTCACTCTAAATATGCACAACAGGCAAAGAGGAGATTATTATCCCCATTTTACAGATGGGGAACTGAGGCACAAGGGGAATATGGGCAGGATTTTCAAAAGGGATCAGCGTTGGCCTTACCTATACAGGGAGAGAATATCAGATACTAGAACAGTCTAGCAGGCAAAGGAAGAGGAAGACCCAGAGGTGTTGAAACTAGATACAGTCAACCTGGAAGAAAGGCACGTCTTTTTGTCAGTGGTTAATTACCCCTGGGAGCAGCTTTCGGAGGGAGGTCGTGGATTCTTTGTCACTTGCAGTCTTTAAATCAAGCGTGGATGACTTTCTAAATGACACACTCTAGCTCAGCCAGAAGTTAGGGGCTGGATGCAGGAGAATCCCCTGGTCCTTGTGATGCAGGAGGTCAGGCTAGAACATCTGATGGTCCCTTTCAGCCTTAGGATCTAGGGTCTGAGTTCTCTGTGATGCTGAGGCCCTTTTACACTGCCCTGCCTTAGCATCAGGGAGAAGCAGGGCCTGTGACTCTGAGTAGGGAGAGATTTCAGAGGGAGGGAAGGATGAGTCCAAGAGGATTGGTTTGTAAAGTCTATTTCCCCATTGAATTCTTTAACAGGATTTCTTGATGCGACACAAGGGCTACCTTGATCCCTGGATCAGCCTCAGGAGGGAACCGGGCCAGCCCTGGAAGTGGCCCAATGGCTCAGTATTCAACGACCCGTGAGTCGCTTTCTTTCTATTCACTGTCTTGGGTCACAGGCAGCTGAGGTGGGGGCTCCCCTAAACTCCCAGCCCTTGCTGTGGGATGGATGGAGACCCTTGGGGAGGCAGGAGTTCCCCCGGAAATCACTCCAGCACCTTCATTGGCAAATGCACAGTCCAAGTGCCCCTCCAGCATCTGTCAGAGCATTTCCTTCCCTTTGGGCTCTGGCTGATTCTCAAAGGCCGTGTGGGCTCACAGAGACCAGAGCTGCTCCCTTAGCAGGAAGGGTGGCCCAATGTTTAAAGCACTGACCTGACACTAGGAGACTTGGGCTTAATTCTTTGCTCTGCCACAGACTCCCTGTATGACCTTGATCAAGTCTCTTAGTCTCCCTGTGAACCATCTGCAAAACTGGGATAAAAGCGGGGGAGTTGTAAGGATCAATACGTTAAAGAGTGTGAGGTGCTCTGATACTATGGGGGTGGGGGTTAGATACATACCTAAGACTGGGAGCAGAGGGCTGGTCCATTCACACTGCCAAGATGTGGAGTGGAAGTTCCACACAACTAAAAGGCTGAATTCAGACTGATCTACTGGAAATAATCACTGGTTCTTAGTCTGCTTGTGTAATAATTCAATATTTTCACTAGGACTTGGACTCAAATTCTGTGCTGACTCCACAGGGTAGAACTAACAGGGGAGATGTTAATACCGGGGAGAAATTCCAGCGTCAGCGAGGTTGCAGAAAAGACTTAAGTAGTTCATCGGCCTTGTAATTACCACTAAGTGAAATTTTTCAGACAAAACTTTTTACCAAATAGCAGATTCAGCTACACTGAAATCGTTTGTGAATTCATGTCGGTTTCATGAAATTGTTTCAGTTAAAAAAAAGAGAGAGCATCATGAAAAAAATCAAAATATTTTGATTTATCATTTGAAACAACTTTTTTGTTTTGGAATTGCCTTTAATACCAAAACAATTACAAACATTTAAAACGGTCAGAATCAAAATGAAGTGTTTCAGTTTTGCCAAAGAAAACATTTTGACACAAAACTAACTTCTTTGACTTTTTGATTCTCCAAAATCTTTGAAAAATGTCGTTTTCAGGTTGACCTGAAATGTTTTTTTTTTTTTTTTTTGGTCAGTTTTTTGGAATTGTCAGTGAACTGAAAAATCCATTATTCACAATCTACTTGTAATGGCCTCCTACAGAGAGGTCAATTTCATCCTCTCAGAAGGCCTCTGAGATGAGAAGGAACGGTCTGATCCCTGACTGATTGTAGCTTCGTTGCTCTTACTTTTTTGCAGGGTTCAAACAGGAGAAGGAGGAGAATGTGCCTATATGTTCAAAAACACCATCAGCAGTTCAAAGTGCTACACACAGAGGAACTGGATTTGTAGCAAACCTGATGAATTTGCAAAGAGAGAGATTACTTAAGAACTAGGAACATGCGCCATTTTTATTTCACTGCTTCTTGGGGTACGAAGAAGGAAGACTTTTTGTTTTTGTTTTTCCTGTTTGGTTTATGTTCCTCACAATATTGGGAAATATGCTGTTAAATCTTGTCTCCCCAGTGTAAAGATGATGCAAATGAGAAAAGAATCAGTCCTGCTTGTCTTGTACATTTCTATCCCTTAACCCACTTCTAGCATACAATGAAGCAAAGGACAGCGCTACCCCATGTAACCGAGCAGTATCAAATCAAAATGGGCACTTACTGGAGTGCCCCTCTCCTGCATCATGCATGCCAGAGGCAGAGTGCTGGGACTGGCTTGATCCCTCAGGAGACAAGAAGAGATCCTGGCTCACCAAATTACCAGACGACCCTGTCGTATGACCCACCTCATCCTCCAATTCCACTTCTTTGTCCACCACTTTGTCCTTGGGGTTGAGTCCGCTGGCTGCTGTCTCCAGCCACCCCCTGCCCAAAGTACTTGTGGGCTCTCAGAGGTGGAGGTGAGGTCACTTCTGAGGATGGTGTCCAGCTCCTTGTAGAAGTGGCAGGTCTTTGGCACAGCACCAGAGAGTTCGCCTCCCTTGCCTGCCTCAACTCCTTTATCTTTGAACGGCACAGATGTGTGGCCCATTCGTCAGGGCCGGCTCCAGGGTTTGGGCCGCCCCAAGCAGCCAAACAAAAAAAAAGCCACGATCACGATCTGCGGCGGCAATTCGGCGGAAGGTCCTTGCTCCGAGCAGGAGTCAGGGTCCGTCCCCCGAACAGCTGCTGGAGCTGGTGAGTACGGGCACCGGGCGGGCAAGGGGGGCTGGCAAGGGGGCTGCTCCCCCAGGAGGGCGACGGGGGGGGGGCTCAGCTGAGGAGCCAGGATGAGGGGGGAGGGGGCGACTCGGCTCCTTACCTGGCCTGCGGCAGCCGGCACAACATACTGGCGCGGGGTGGGGCGGGGATGCTACCCCCCTACAGGGGCAAGGAGCTGGCCGGGGTCCCCTCCAAGCCGATAAACTTTACATGGCCACTCGTGCGGCCCCGAGCCGCTCTCCTCCGCTGCTGCCGGGGTCCAGAGCCCCCCTGTCTACCTCCTGGGGGAGCAGCCCCCTTGCCAGCCCCCCTTGCCAGCCCGGAGCTCGTACTCACCAGCTCCAGGAACTGGAAGCCGGCCACCACCCCTCCCTCCAAGCTTGCCCCGCCATTACAGCAGCAAGCCTGGGAAGGAGGAGGAATGCCACATGCTTGGGGAAGAGGCGGGGCCAGGGTGGGGATTTGGGGAGGGAGCCAATGGGGGAAGAAGGGGGCGGAGTCGGGGTGGGGGGGGCGAGAGCCCTTCCGGGAGGGCAAAATTGCTTGTTTGTCCAGTGTCCCGACCACACATCGGTCAGGACACAGGACAAACAAGCGAATATCGGGACAGTCCCCATAAAATCGGGACGTCTGGTCACCCTAACCCCCTCTATCTATCTATCCCCATCCACCCCCTCTCTCTCTCTCTCTCCTCTCCCTCTCCCCATCCACCCCCTCTCTCTATCTCTCTCTCTCCCTCTCC